GTTTACCTCTGCGTTTTGTTTGGTGAGTGCAGGTGGCCGGAGGCCCTTTTTACTGGAAATGAGGCATTCCATCTTAGTCCTCATGGGTGACAACGCATCTGCATTTTGATTCGCAAACGAAGATAGATGTAGATGTCTATGGGCCGCAGCAACCACTTACCATCAGGTGGACTGTGTGCTCGTTTGTCACCCTTATCCTATAAAAAAAAAAATTAGCTGTTCCCCGCGACTTTGCCCGCGTGTAATTTAAGGTTTTAATTAAGTTGCGCGGAACCCTAATTCTTTTTCTCAAATATAAGTAGCCTAAGTTACTCCTTATAACATCAGCTATCTGCCAGTGAAAGTCGTCCGTCGAAATCGGTCCAGCCGTTTCGGAGATTAGTCGGAACAAACAGACAGACAGACAGACAAAAATTAAAAAAGCTGTGTTTTTGTTATAAGTACCGTACCTACACTTTCATATGCATTTAGTAAAATACTGTTATTTTAACATTACAAACAGACACTTCAATTTTATTTACTTGTATAGATTATCCTAAATTGTATGTGATTTATGGACAACAACGTTTTCGCCTACCTATCGACCCTTACGAATGTGTGCGTGCGAAGTAAATTCACTTAAAATAATGCATTACCACGCATTTTGAATTTAAAAGATAAAAAGGACAGAAATTTTGAGATTATATTTAATTAACTTTTTATCTAATAATAAAATCTTGATCTATTTAATAATAACATGACAAGAAAATCGATCTGAATTTGTTAGCCCAGGGGCTAAGCGTTCAGCGTAAATATAATAATGTACTTATATAAAATATAAATATGTGAAACAGAAACTTTTTTATTCAATATAGATTATAAATAATACTTATTATATTACACGCTTTTCTTTAATTACCACTGGTTCGAAAAAAAACCTCTGTCCTGGGAAGAACCAACAAGAAACCCAGCGGGACTTTCAGATGATCTTTCAATCATGATATATGTTACACAATTATTAACAACACAAAACAAATTAGAAATTGCTTGGTAGCGTTCACCTCATTCCCAGGGTTATTATCATCCATAAATTCTTTAATATTATAATAACCCTTTTTATACAAACTTATTAAGTTTTTGAACTTTGAACAGGTCAAATTTTGAATATTTTGTGAAATTTTGTTGTAAAAGCGTATACATCGCCCCAAGAATGAATTACTGACTCGATGGAGTCGAGTAACTGGTACTACTAGCTTGTGTCTGTTCCTAGTATTTACAGAATGAATATCACTTATTTTTGTAAAACTACTTTTATTTTTGTGTACATACATTACATTTTCATAATGTATTGAGAGGCCAAAGTTAATATATTAATTTCCTTAAATTTTTGTCGCAGCGACTCTTTAGACTTTAAATCATAAATTGCTCTTATGGCCCTCTTTTGTAAAACAAATATAATTTCAGCGTCAGCTGCGTGACTCAAAAACTCAGATTCGATCCTGGAGGGGATCATGTCTGAGGAATAATATATTATGAGGCCTAAAGTCCGCCGACACGCACTAGAGAAAGAGAGAGAGAAAGAGAGAGAGAGAGAGAGAGAGAGAGAGAGAGAGAGAAGAGGCCTGTACCCAGGACGTAGATATTGTTGTCACTTTTGTTTTTAATGACTCATACATGATCAATAAAATAATTAAATAGATAATATGCTCTCAAACAAACGATATGAGACACCCTATGAAGCAATGTTCGATAATAGTTATCAGCAATTATGTTATTGTAAACGTGCAAAGTTCAACAATGACTCATCGACATTGGTATGTTATTGTTTTTTTGTATACGTGTTGACAGTTGACATAATGTCTAAACATGAATTTGAATCACATGTTCAGTAAATGACCGCTTACATAGTAGCAGATTAATACAAAATCGATCCCGTGAAATAGAATATTACGGTGCTAAGAAGACATTAATAAGTATATCGAAGAACTAAACATTTCATCCCTATTTTTTCACCCTTACGGGTGTTTTTTTTTTTCAAATTGAAATGGTACCGCTGCTTAGATAACCTATTTAGTAAAAAAGTATCATATAGGGAAAAATTATATAGGGAAAAAACAGTTGAGTTAAGGTCCTTGTCCTTAGTTATCTAAAAAGTATATAAGATAAATAAATTCACGCAGTCAATGTAGTTAGACATTCGCATGCAGTCGCCGTCTATAAAACTACTCGTTTCAGTTTTAATTAATGAATGAAAGAAAAGTCTCTTCACCTACACCGTATTCTTAAAAATATTTTTTATGTATATAAAATTCCTCATAATGTTTCCATTTCCAGCGCCGTAAAATTAATATATCTTAGACATTGTTCACCTACTGTGACCTGTGACATTGTTATATCTATATGCCGCGCTTTTTTAAACTAATTGTAAATGAGTTTCAAAAAATATTCGAAAATTGTTGCTCAAGTCGAAACGAGCATAGTACTTACTTACACAATTTCATCCTTTGCTTATCGTTTTGGCAACGGTAGCAGATTTGAAAGTTTGGAACGAATGCTTCACATCACATTTTGGGACAATGTGAGACATATAAATTTTCATTGTATCACCAACCAGGTGGTCTTAATCTATAATATAAAAATGAAACGCTGAATGTGTTGCTAAGCGCAAATCTCGAGAGCCGAGCTAAACCCATTTCGCTAATTCTTTTTTTATAATATTCCTTTAAGTACGAAGATGGTTCTTACGAAAAGAAAAATTTAAAAAATTACTTGAAAAAGTCTAAAAATAACACTTTTCTATATTCGCATACAAAAGATTCGTAATAATACTTAAAAGTCAATTTGAACTTTAATAACATACCATAAAGTTTAAGGAGGGGTTCCGGGAAGGCAAAACAATTGAATGACGTTAGTATCGTATAAATATTAATGTCAATATTTATACACACTGGCAGATAGAAAGAAAGAAAGAAAGAACTAGATAGCTGAGATTATAAGGAGTAACTTGGGCTGCTTTTATTTTAGTGAAAAATAACTCGACGTGGGCGAAGTCACGGGGAACAGCTAGTATAATATAAAAATCACTATGTCCGTTCACTTTAATCTGCTCAACCAAATTTAATAAAATTTTGTAAATGTGTATTGCTTGCTCCTACTTGAGAGATTGGGCAGTTTATATCCCGATAAGTGAGCCTTAATATTTTTTATGGCATATTTAATGATTTTTTAATGATTTCAGAGGGACGTTAGAAAGGGCAGAAGAACGTTTGGCTGGCCGGCTAGTAATAATATATGAATTTACAAAAGTATTGTTTATTAACGTATACTTCGTATGCAACAATAAAACGCAAGTGTCGATCGGCAAAGTACCTACTATAGTAGCAATAAAAACAGTATTTTGTTTGGAAGTAAAGACTAAAAATGAGTTGGGGGGGTGACTCGAACTTTAGGCCTAGTCAGTTTGAATGGCCTATCATGTAGAGGATGTCACGGGGGTCATGGTTGAATAGGGGCAAAAAGTTCTCATTACACTCCTAGGAGGTCAAAATGGCCAAAAACTAAAAAAATTGGGGGTGGCTCGAACTTTAGGCATAGTCAGTTTGAAAAGCCTATCATGTAGAGGATGTCAAGAGGGTCATGGTTGAATAGGGACAAAAGTTCTCATTACACTTCAACGGGGTCAAAATGGCCTAAAACCAAAAATTGGGGGGTGGCTCGAACTTTAAGGATAGTCAGTTTGAAAAGCCTATCATGTAGAGGATGTCATGAGAGTCATGGTTGAATAAGGACAAAAGTTCTCATTACACTCCTACGGGGTCAAAATGGCCTAAAACCAAAGAATTAAAAATTCTAAATTCGGCTATAACTCCGCCCCCTTCGGAGGTTCTTACACAGTCTTACACATCCCACTTGTTATTAAATGCAAACAGGTTAAAGAGGTGTTTGGTATTATTCATCATCATCATCATTACAGCCCTTCACAAGTCCACTGCTGAACATAGGCCTCCCCCAAAGAATGCCACAAAGCACGGTCCTGAGCCACCTGCATCCATCGACTTCCTGCATGTCTTATCAGGTCGTCACTCCATCTCGTGGGGGGACGCCCTACACTTCGCCTACCGGTACGAGGCTGCCACTCGAGAACCTTTCTTCCCCATCGGTTGTCGGTTCTTCGAGCTATATGGCCGGCCCACTGCCACTTCAGCTTACTAATCCGTTGGGCTATGTCGGTTACTCTGGTTCTACTGCGGATATCCTCATTCCTAAGTTTATCACGCAGAGAAACTCCAAGCATAGCCCTCTCCATAGCTCGCTGAGCGACCTTGAGCTTCCTCATACGGCCAGCAGTGAAGGACCGCGTCTCAGTTCCATAAGTCATCACTGGCAACACGCACTGGTTGTACAATTTCGTTTTCAGGTTTTGAGGTATGTCCCCATATCCTCCCGTGGGTGTCGTAAAAGGCGACAAAGGAAAACAGGCAGGAGATGGGCAGCAGCATCTTCCTGATAATAGCCAAAATTATAACAAAAAAACTGCGGTTGCCAACCCGCTCGCCAAGCGTGGCAACTATGGCAAATACCCCCCTATGAATGTTGGTATTATTACAAAGATAAAATTAAAAAAAAAACTTTATTTTGTAGACGCGGTAGCCCGAAACATGTTAATTGTAGTTTGTGACTCATTGTTTTCAATTTTTTATTAAAAGAGTAAAGTGACCTAGATTTAAAACAAGTTTTGTAGGTCATGCGTAGTGTATGTAATATGTATATTGCAGGAATCGAACCCGTAACCCGTAGCCCTGTCTCTGTACAAACGCATAGCCACTACGATGCTGTAATTTTCAGTTATTAATTTTACATTTAAAATAACTTAACAAGTTATTGTGTTAAACATTTATTGAAAAATGACAATGAGACATTATGTTTATTAATATTATATAGTATTGTTGAGTCTAGGAGTACTTAAGTTAAGACATAATTATTTATTTAAAACACACAAAAGTAGTTTTATTTATAAAATTTTAGCTGATGTCATTGCTTTCTAAATCTGTATATGTCTTACTAGCACCGTCTTCGAGCAGTTGAAGTAATTTATGATAGACAAGTCTAGGGGCGTCTTTAGCCCATAGAAAATCAATATGATTAAATTCTTTTAATGGCACTATATAATGTTCCAAGGGGTTCGCAAGGCGTGCATATAAGTTGCTGACATCGACATCACTCGCAAGCCAGTCGTTTTCTGAACTAATCAGCGCTATTGGTAGAGTTATCTTGTGCACTGGATATTCCGGCGGTAAGGGCGTTCCATACATTTTGTAATTTCCCTCTGGACCATAATCAAACTGCTGGAAGCGACCACCATTGCGGACCTCTTGGGCGTAATGTATCAGCGTTCTGGTCGACGCTCCAGCTGGCACGTGACCCAAAAGTATAGGTAATAAAGTTCTATTAAACTGCTTCTCATCGTGCCCACAGAGCACGAAAAGTGAGTTTTCACATATCACTTCCTCATAATGGTTTATTTCACACGCATGCTTAGACAGCCACCTCAGAACGGCGTTATGGGGTAAAAACTCGTTAGCACCGAGGAGTGTCATCAAATATGCAATATTATCACTGAATTTCGCCAGCAATCTAATCGGACTTTGTATATGAGTCATGTACGCCACCGGGGCGAGTGCGTATCCTGCTCTTAAAACTTTGTTATATTGAGTTTTTGTCGAGAGTAAAGCAAATAGGACAGTCGTTCCCATGGAATGGCCGATGTAATTTATCTTCACGTCCCATCCTTTTTTCTCCATGATATAATCGATAACTGCCGGTAAATCGTGCTGACTTACATCGTGGAATGTGAAATTCCAAAAGGCGAATGAGTCGGGATTCTTAGAGATATGAGCTCTGGAATACGTATTTCCTCTAACGTTAGCTAGCCAGACATCATAACCTGCGTCAGATAATATGTATGCGAGACCTTTTCCAGGTCCTGGAATGACCCAATCGGCGGAACTGCCGAGTAAGCCATGATGAAGGAGCGCTGTTTTTCTAGGAGGCTGGGCACCAATATTCTTAGCATTTGGTATTCTATGTAGTGTTAAAATGTAGCCGTCATCCGTTGTAATGGTATGTGACTCTGAGACATATCCATGGAGCGCGATCAGTTGAGGTGTAGTCATACGAATTGCCGGATCGTCGTCAGAGCAATTGTAGTGACTCTTTTTTGGAGCGATGGAGTCAAATATGACGTTTTCTTTTTCCTGGGCATCCTCTATATATTCCTTGAACTTCCTCTTTATTCTTTCTTCTCGGCCTTCGCCGTGCATAATTTCTTCAGTGCGATTTGAAGAACCGAAATACGACGTGATCTTATCTTGCACATTATTGTAGAATTGCCTTAGACTGCGTCCCTTTTCTTTGACGTAATTCTTGACTAGAGATGTTTCATTCGCGATCGTTTGTACAAGATTTCGCGGGAACCAATTCTGCGTGCACTCGGAACTTTTTATAATAATGGTTACTAAAAACAAGGTAATCACGAGTAACTTCATTTCGTGACAAGACAACTAACGCATTGAACGATCCCCGACTACTGAACTAAATAATAGGCTAAGGCGGGAAGGAGTAGACGTACTTTATCCTCGCGTCGGGTCAAGGTTAATGTGACGTCAGTAACAAAGTGAAGTCGGCGTGTTTTGTTTTGCGTATTATTTATAAACAATGATATTTTAGCTAGTTGCTCGCTAGTTTTAATGATTCGTCCATCGGCGAGTACAAGAAAAACTTTGGAATCAAGTGAGATCCCTTTTCCCTGTTACCTATTTCTGCCGCCAAAACGTAGTAGGTACCTGCACTGCGTGTTCCGGTCTGAACAGTAAAGAGAGCCAGAAAAACTAAACATTGTTTGATGGGAAATACACAATGCAGTTTCAAATTATACTTATTTATTTCTTAATTTGAAACTGTATTATAATCGATAATTAAAATCAAATAAAATTGCCGCTTTAATAATTAATATATTGAGGTTGACTTAGTATAAGTTTTGACTTTAGTTAATTTAATAATTAAAACTTCGTGCCTTTATTGTTGGTTCTGAAATCTAAGCATTTAAGTATTTTAAATCAAGTATTATAGGTACTTAAATAGTATGCACATAATCCAAAAACAGCCTCGTGAGTTTTTGAATTATGAGGTCCCGAGTTCGAGTCCCGGGTCAGGATAAAATTAGTTATTGGGTTTTTCTGTCAACAAATTCTCGGTAGCAGTCTGGAGTCAATAATATAGCGGTGTTTCATGTACGCCTAGGAAAGCACGTTAAGCCATTGGTCCTGCGCTTGATCTTTCGCCGGTCGTGTCAAATTACCGTCCCATCGGAATATGAGAGTGAGGGAATAGAGTGCACCTGTGCTTGCGCATAAACTCCGGCACTATAATCCTGACCTGCGCAGATAGCTACTGGCCATTGACTAGTCTCCATTGAAGAATGGAGCCGTGACCTAAATTCGGTCTAGAGGACATTAATGCAAAAAATATTAGATTAATTCAATTGCATCCTATTAAAATTTCACTGCACCCGCATAACCTACCGAACTTATAGAAGGAATGTTTACCATGGTTGCTTTTACTGATTTTTATTATTCTTATTGAGCTGTGATCAGAAAGATGTTGCTGTCCACATCTCCTGTTTTAGTTGCCCTCTGTTGCTTCTTAGGTACTACACCCATGATGATGGTGGAGAAGGTAGTGGATTATCTTACACCGCCACTACACACAGTGGCGTAGCTATGTAACCAAGGGCCCCGGGGCAAAACTGAAATTGGGGCCCTATTTATACTAAACTAAATACTTTAAAGGTGCAAAACTTCTTCATCATCAGCTCCTTGTTGCCTACTGCAGTACATAAAAAAGCTGCTTACTACTAAGTATTATGTGTAATGTATAAAGAATGACGAAGTTAGATTACAGATAGGCAGACAACATAACAGTGGAAGGGCCACACGGCAGCTTTTGCTGTCGCACAGGTGAGCCAGACTAGATGGAGTACCGACCTGTTAAGACATAAAATGAAGAGACGTTGTTTACGCCCGAACGTTGATTTCGGGATTGACGTTAGAGGGCGCGCGGCTCGGCGATACCGGTTTGAAGCTCGGCCGAGCGTGGCAAGTGGCGCGAGGGTCGCAAGCGCAGCAGTCGTCTGCCAGATGTGCTAATGTCTGCACGCTGTTAATTTTGTGCGGGAACCGCGGAATAGTTAGGTCGTCTAGTAAATATCCTGTCTAGGAATTATAACGCGCATTCCCTGTTTGGATAGCCTTTCCCGGGACTTATTGGGTCCGACTCAGAATCTGTATAAGTGCATTCGACAATATTGGCTAGTGCGGCCTCTGATATTCTAGAACTAACTGTTGCTACGCGAAACGGCCGTGACCTTTGATCCGTAAACTCCGTGTGCGTTTGTGCGTTAACCTTATACCCAGCGATAGTTAGTGGCTTCTGTAAGTTAGTTAATCGTACGATAGAGTTAATTGACTGTCATCGTGACGAAAGAAGAAAGTGACTGTGGTCCGGCGCCGAAGCAGTCTGAAGCAGTGTGGCAGCATTTTGGAGCAGCCTGGAACTCGGCAGCGGCTGGTCGCCTATGCTTGACAAGGCCCCACACATTCACCCCTCACTGTACACTAACTTTCCATCCCCTATTACACACACTCACGGCCTGCCCAAGCCTTGGTGCGAAGTTAGCTTCGGATAATGGTAAGTACTATGTCCTTGTAACGTCCTCCCATCTGGTTTATTGTAATTAGGAATTTCCACGTGGCTACATTGAGGCCCGACCTACGTCTGCTCGGGAAGTCTTCTGCTCATGGGCCCCAGAGGATTGGTCCCTTTAAGGGAGCAGCCGTAGGCCGTAACAAACGTAATGAATGAATGTAATGAATGGGTCGACCGGCTCAAGCCAAGGATACCCACGACCTTACAGATAACCAGCGTGAAGTAAAAGTTTACTTCGCCTGTTAAATGCAGGTGGTCGGAGGCCTAACTCCTCTTCCCCTTAACGTGGTAGTGTAATTAAATAAGAAACCATCCCAGGAGGGTACCAGCACCCCCGGTATTGCAGAATCCCTGGCTGAGCATCGACACCCAAGCTACCCTTCTCTTCCTTAGCGTGGGTGCTCAGGCTGCCTCGCGTATCCTGCGGAGGGGGAGGGGGGCGAAATTCAGCTCAAGACTTGTACTGCTCGTGGCAAGTAGAGCAATAAGACAAAGGTGACCCCTGTCACGCTATACGTGAATTTCTACAACATTAGGGGATTTCATTCGAACGTTAAAGAAGTCCACTAGGTACCATCTCAAGACGGCGAAACCGACCTTGCTCTCTATAAACGAGACGCAGGTGTACTCTCCGGTTGATACTTTTCTACTTTCTGGGGTACAAATTATAACACTTTTACCTCGGGTTGGACTTTACGTATACGTCAGAGAGGATATCTGTTCTCTACGCCTCGGCAGTCCCGAAGGTCAGTGACGACCAACCTCGCATCTACGGTTGCCTCTATAGGTAATGCCGACACAGACTAACTCATCGACCAGGTCCAAATCGTTGCAGGCTCCGTGCTACAACATGTCCCACCTGCAGAGATCGTGATCCTTGGTGATTTTAATGGCCACCACGCTGAATGGCTTGGTTCTCGTAAACGTAATTAACGTAATTAATAGAATCAGGCGTTACTTTGCGGAAATCCATTATATAAAAGCTTTTAAAAAAATTACTTCGCAAATATCCGCGTTAAAATAAAATGATGTGTCTTACCTAGTATGAAGAGCACCTCCCGCCTTCCCTCAATTGCGTGCACTATCGCCGTCACCACTAATCCCAGCACCGCTACTCCCAACACCACTACACTAGACAAGACACACCACTGACGACAATACGATACGTGTTTGTACTGCTGGGCACAGGCATTTTCTAATTTCTCAGAGAATTTTAAGAGAAGGAAATGCCGTGCTGTCCCAATGCGTGTTGGCGGACTTCATATCTCGAAATATTTACTTTAATTTCTTAAACACGCAGGTTTCCTCACGATGTTTTATTTCACCGCGAAGCACCTGGTAAATTAGCACTCGAAATTCAATTACCAATTTCATTGGTGCCGGCGGGGATCGAAACAGAGTTGCTCACGTACTGTGAAATTTCTTAAACACGGTTTCTTCACGATGTTTTACTTCACCGCGAAGAACCTGGTAAAACAGCACTCGAAATTCAATTACCAATTTCATTGGTGCCGGCGGGGATCGAAACAGAGTTGCTCACGTACTGTGAAATTTAGCAGCGAGCCATTATCCCCTGAGCGGCTCGTGTCGAAGAGAGGATATTTCATCGCATGAATTCGCTGAAAACAAAACACCTACAACTTTGCAAAGACAATTAACAACGCTAACGGATCTAAAGTTTGGAAGGGGTCAGTACAAGGAAATGAAAAGATTCTCTATGGGTCAGAGACTAAAAACTTTAGTCTATTACTTTTTGACATAAATTATCAAAAGAATTACTGGTTCTTCTTCTTCATCATCAGCCCGTAAAATCCTACTGTAAGCCGAGTCTCTCCCACTGTAGAGGAAATCTCCCATAATTGTCATGGTTGGCAGGCAGATAGACAATTGCAATAAGTACACGACGTCTCGCACCTTCGACGTTGCTGTCCCTAGCCGCTCAGGATATTTTATAACTGGGTCTGACGTAACCGATACCTATAGTTACACCGTCATATTTTATCGAAAACCATTACATTTTTCTGGTGTTTCCCATAGTCGCCGTTTACTACGTGGATAATATCTACTCTCCAAACTGCCACATTAGTGACACGATTATGATGTCCAAAACTATCAGTTTTCATCATTACATATAATAAATATTTTTAGATTATGTAACAGTCTTTTATATATAATGCTTTCGTTGTCATAAGATATAAATTACAACCATACAAGTCCACCTGCTGAATTTAGGCTTCCTTCAAGTTATGTGCTACCTGTATCTATCTATTTCCCGCATGTCTTACCAGGTCGTCACTATATAGTGAGGGGCCGCTATAATTTACACTACACGACTGCTTCACAAAAATCTTTCTCAAAACCAATTTACGGTTACGGACAATGCCGAATCTCGGTCGTTGGACAACTAACCCAATCGCTAAATCGTGCAAATCAGTGCTAAGAGACTTAATTACCTCTAAAAGACTGACGGTCCACCGGAAACTATGAGTGAGCGCTGCCAGTGGACTAAAAAGGCTTATCTGCGTCAGTCAAGCGCCGTATGTGAGGATGAAGGAGTCACGGAGAGTTGAAACGATCGTCTAAAGGGTGTATATTGTGGCGAGAGGCAACACGTCACTCCATATCCACATCCATTCATCGTCGGTGGCCCTACTAGGGATGTAATTTCCACGAGGGGTGTTCTGGTAGCCAATATCGAGACTGAAGTGTTCACCGCAGCTCAGCCAGCTCAGTTAGCTAGCTGTTAATATGTTGGGGAACCCAGGCGGACTGACGAACTTTTCGCAGCTGCCAGGATATCGATGAGCCGTAACAGGAAAAGCAAGGCAACTCTTAAGAGACAAGCTGGCGGACCATCAAAGGAAGAATAGGAATAAGCGCCAACGGCGTGAAATAGCTGCTTAATGCTGCTTGTTCGTATGATAAGTACAGAGAACCGGAGACTTTTTTTACTGGAAACGGGGCATTTTATCTTAGTATTCAGGGGTAAAAAGGCATCTGTATTTTGATTCTTAATCGAAGATAGATGTAAATATCTTTGGGCCACAGCTTACCATAAGGTGGATTGTGTGCTCGTTAGTCACTCTTGTTCCATAAACAAAAGAAGATCAAGTGCGCAGGTCAGGCTTAGGTAGTGGCGAGGTATGGTACGGGTCCTAGCAGTGGGGCAAAAGCAGGGAAGTATAATAATCGGACCTCTGCATATATGCAGAGCCGGCATTGGTGCCCGCAATCGTGTTATGAAGTATATTATTGCGGGCACCAGTGCCGTAGTTTCTAGCGGTTAGAAACTGGTCTGGTGTGGATAACCTCAAATTCTAGGGCCATGGCGGATACCTTTTTGGACACACTCCCGAGTTGGGAAGAAACGATCACCTCGAAAGCTATTGACATTGAATTAGCAGAACCCCAAGGAACTCAACCGCCAACTGCACAGCAGTCATTGCTACGCCCAGAGTCTGCTAAGGTCAGCTAGTCTTCTGAGGTGAAGGTAATGGTGCTCTACTGCTCTGCTGTCTAATACTGACCCGGCGGCTAACGATAAGACCCTTGTCCTGCTGGTAGACTTATTTCTAGAAGAGGACGAAAAGGCTACAATCATTATCAATCTAATATAGATAAAGAACTACGCCAATTAAATACTGACCGATAGCATGGAACTACAAACTTCGAGCAACGAACGATGAACTCTAATACAAGAATACCATCAAAATTAGTTACTTAAATTTCACAGTGTGAGCTTACAATGAATTAAAGATCACAGTGGATCTCGAGGCAACGGCGTGGCTGACGAGTTAGCCAGAGGATCGACCTTAATATAATACACAAATTAAGATTGTAGGTGCCAAAAGGCCGTAACAGATTATACAAACTAGCTGGTACGTAAACAACACTTCATTAATCAACACGCTTAATTTTGGATTAACCGTGAAGTTGCAACAGGCTAGCTAGGCAAGCACTAAGATATGTCATCCCTATTCATTTAATAGCCTTCTATTCGCGTTAACGATTGTAGATAATCTACTTAGCTAACCCAAAAAATCCGGATAGTAACTAGCGCTATTACAGGGCCTGGTTCTTTAAAAACTGATGTTTATCATAGGTGTTACAGATTGCCCATGTGCGGGGCTTACATTAGTGAGAAAAAAAAGCGCAGCTGACGTGCTGCTGTTATGTCTGGAGGTGTTTACACATCTCATCTCAAGATTATGATTGTGAACTGTGTTTTTTTTTTTCAAACAAGAAGTCCCGCTGGATTTCTTACTGGTTCTTTCCAGGACAGAGGTTTTTCGAATCAGTAGTAAATTAAACAAAAGAGTTTTAAGTATTATTTATAACTATACTGAATAGTTTGTTTCTGTTTCCGTGGGCCACAGTCGCTTCCCCGAGGTGGTCAGTAACATTAATGAGTTTCTTTGAGACGAAGTAAGGGCACGAACAACTACATTATTCCTGCTCTCCCGCAAAATATAATGTGCTTTAGACGTGGAGTTGTGGAAAACAGTCCGTTACAAACTAACTAATTAACAAACTACTGATCCTTTGAGCTATTTCAGATACTCTGGTTCTACTCTGCGGACTATTGAGTATTCTATCACGCAGAACTCCGAGATAGTCCTCTTCACAGCTCGCAGAACGATATTTACTATTTTATTTATACCTCATACGGCCAGCCTAACCTGACCTGACCTGACTGGTTGTTGATTTTGAGGAATATGTGACGAGATGTTTCGAAATTTCCCGAACACTGCTTTGCCGAGTTGAATCCGTCGATCTTCTCGTTCGAAGTTGGAATTACCTAATCTGATAAGTTGTCCTAGGGAAACATACTCATCAACAACTTCGAGCATAGTGTTGCCAACAACTACCGGCATAGTTGTGACATGGATTATAAACATAGTATATGTTTTGTCCAGGATCATCTTAAGACCATGGGAGACACTATAATCGTGATTGAGAATGGTGCAAAGATCTTCCAGCAATTTTGTCATAATTACTATTGTCAGCAAATTAAATGTGTGATGTATTCGTCAAACGTCTCTGCAATTCTATAGTGCTACGTTGGAAACTTGACAGTTAGTAACATTTATATCCAATAACAATAATAATAATTGTACTGTTATGTTATATTTTAATATAACTCTTTGATCTCTTCACATAGTTCAGCAAAATTCTCATATTTCCACTTTTTCAACTCACTTTCTAATTCTTCAGCATGAATGTGTTCAAAAATGTGTATATCTGAAAATTACAAAAAAAAACCAATCATTTTACATATTAAAAAATAAAGTTACGTAACAACTCAACTGTTGGATATGGGGAGTAGGTGGGGTTACCGAAACTTTTTTTTAATTAAAAGCAGCCCCAGCCATTTAGCCGTTTGGATGTCAAAATTCCAAGAAAACTTTCTGGCTTTCCACTTGCAGGCCAACTACATGCAGCGAGCTAGACAGCTAGAAATAATAAAATATTCTTCTTTAAACAAAAATATTTCTTGTTACTACCGGAAACCGAAGCCTCGGCTCGGCCCGCAGCGCTGCAACCAAACAGTCGCTGCGACTAGGCGTAAATTAAGCCAGGTAAAGGTCCCCGGACCAAGTTTTCGTGAACCTTCTTCGTTTTTAGAACTTAGAAAATTACGGGAAAATCCTGTTTTTTTTACAGGGCCGTTATGCAATGCAGAACCCAAAGTCATCTGCCTACTTTACCTTTTTTCTATAAGATAAGGGTGACCAGTGAGCACACAGTCCACCTGATGGTAAGTGGTTCCTGTGGCCCATAGACATCTACACCTTTTTTTATAGGAGAGGGGGCAAACGAGCATGCGGCTCACCTGATGGTAAGTAACTACCGCCGCCCATGAACAACTGCAACACCAGGGGAATTGCAGATGCTATCTATCCTCATTTGCGTATCAAAATGCAGATGCGTTGTCAGCCGTGAAGAATAAGATGGAATGCCTCTTTTCAAGTAAAAAGGGTCTCCGGTTCTCTAAACTCACCATAGAAAACACAGCAGCATTAAGCTGCTATTTTACGCTGGTATTCAGTGAGAGCGTGGTCTTTCGAGCCGACTCATTCGTGCTGCAACTATACAATTAATATAGCTGCAGCTACCTACCACCTAAGAAATACCTTTAACTTAATCCTGCTCTCACTTTACTTTTTCCAGTCATAATCAACAAAACTTACCATAAACTGGAAACCAGCCACTCAATTCACAAACAGCCACATTAAAAGCAGACAGCTGTTTTGCTCCCGAACTGCTTTTCCTTGGCCAAATGATTACCCTTACTATTTCTTCCCCTTTACTATCTCCCGTGACTCTCTGTCCACTAGTTATGAATATATTATGAGCGATTGATTTATTTAGTAAAACTTCAATAAGTTTAAATATAACTCCAGATGGATTCACTGTTTGAGGTGTCACTTCAAAACAGAATGCAGGCACGGGATAATTATCACTCAAACAATAGACAGGGCCTTTTATATGATTACATTTCTGAAAAAAAAAAAACAATTTAAAGCATTTTTACCATCATACCAACAAGTAATATCAATATTTTTTAAATTGTTTTGTGTTGCGTGACATTCAAAGCCAAAATAATAAATTATTTATATTCGTCTAAGTTGTAAATACTTAAATGTGAAAATATAATTAATTTTATTCACACAAAGATGTGTATCACAGAGTATGTTTCGTATCCTTGAGGCTGAATCCTGTCGCCGGAGTCAGTTTTTTTTTTAACGTTATATGTCACCATCTAGATAGATGGTGGCATATAACGATGAGGGCAGATGCCCTCAAGACCTGGGTATATGCATTAAGATGCCTCTTACGGCACCCACGAGTTATCCTATGTCATACTGTATAATTCATTCTCTAATACTGTCACCACACAGTGAAAAAATGAGTAAGAGTGAAAGTGAGAGGTAAATACATTGATAAATATCTACTTACCACTGTTTCTACAGGCAGAACATTATTTTCAATAAACAGATGGTAATGCAGATGATTAACTGAAGCTAATCCACAGAGGCTGTTAAATCCAACTCTTAAGTCACTGTAAATTAAAATATGTTATCCTTTATATATATATTTTTTTAAGAAACTCCCCATTTGTAAAGTAAAAAAAAAAAAACTCAAAAGTAAAATCCTCATATTTAAAGTAAAACTGCTAGCAATGCCAATAATATTACTAATATTCCCTTTAATCTTTAAAGAAAGGTTCTATAGTTGCAGCCTCTTACTGGTAAGCCAAGTGTAGGACAGAGCCACTAGATGGAGTGAAGACCTGGTAAGATATGCAGGAAGTCCATGGATATAGGTGGCTAAGGGTTGCTTTGTAGCGTTTCTTGAGTCAGGCATATTCAGGAGTGAATTTTTGAAGGGCTGTAATGTTGATATAATGAAGTATTAATATTAATATATAGGTATTAGAAAATATACTAAGAAGCGCGTCATTCAGCAGTGGATTGCAGATATGAAAAGGTAAAGTAATAATAAAGTAAAATTAAAAAAATTGACCACATGAGAAGCACCATTTTTCTAATAAAAAAAGAATCATCGAAATCCGTTCATCCAAAAAAAAGTTATGAGGTAACACACATAAAAAAAAGAAAAAAAAACATACAGTCGAATTGAGTACTGTCTCCTTTTTGAATTCGGTAGAAAATAAAAAATGTTATATATAACCTATAAAAATGACTTCTATGAATTTAATTCTAAAATATAAAAATGACCATAGCATCTACTTGCCTACACTCACCGATCATCACTTAGGAAAATAATGTCAATACCCAACTGTAAACTATCTGCAGTCAAAATTTGTGGTAAACATCTTTTTAGTAACGGACATAGCAAAGAATGGTAACGTGATATAGGACTAACATTCACCAAAATAGCATGTTCATTTTCTTCTGAAATAAATATTTAACCTTAATTACACAAAGGCAAACTAAACTTCCTTTAATTAAGAACTTCACAAGAGTTGTATGTATAATTTTGGCAATCAGGTATTGCAACGACATAATTCCTTTTAAACTGTAAAAGGTTTTCCAGCATTTGTCTATTATAGACTTATGAAAGTTTTCCTTTCTAACCAAATTAGAAGTTTTATATTCTTCTGTTAAATTGCTTTTCAGTTAATAAATGGCACGGTCATATAAGTTCCTTAGTCTACTAAGCATAGTCAAATACAAACAATATACATGATAATCATCCTAGATACTAAAATGATAACTTCTTTTCGATATGAAAGTGTAAGTATTAAGATTCTCCGAAGTTTAAATTTCCTACTGATTAGTGTAAATACTAATAAGCTAAATAACAATAAATAACCCTGTATTATCTATAATTATCAATCTAAACACTAAAAATCTCTCTCTCTCTCTCTCTCTTCATCTGCAAAACGTCACACTTATAAACATCAAAAGTAAATGGTATCTGGCAGTTTATGGGGAGAATTAACTGCTGCTTACTGTTAGTTCTTTTGTGTTCTATTCTTTACAACACGGGGTGCCAGGTTAGAATAACACCACCCCAGCTCTTCCCGTCGTAAAAACCAACGACAAGGCCAAATAACGGACAATGCCATGATAGGCAGCAGCATTCCTTGTTAATTTAACACCTAGGACTGCACTTGCCAACCCGCCTCCCAAGCATAGCGAGTATGGCATTTACCCCCCTTAATAGGAGAGGCCTATGCCCAACAGTGGACTGTCGGGGCTGATGTGATGGTACTAGATTGGACTATGGAAGCAGATTGTGATATTAATAAAAAATATTGCTTACCGTCATCATCTTCTGTAAAAGTAAAAATTATTTCATCCCTAGATACTTTAGTGAAATTAAACTTGTTCTTATCAAAAGGTTGACAGATATCATGTATTTGCTCTGGAGTGCGTCTTTTTGTACTTCTGTGTGGATTTAACTGGAATTTACAAAAACTGTTATGTACAAATGAAACATGAAATTAATTTTGATTAATTAGTTCGAAAGATCACACTCACGGAATACCAGTGTGTAAATGGCAGCATTATATGGTGAGTGTAGAGAACTGAACATCCTTAATACTGATATTAGTATTCCACCTGAGTCCTCAGGGGTGACAATGCATACTGAATGTACATGTAAAATACTATGTGGCCAAAACAATTATTAGATGCATGACAGCTAAAACATCATTAGAACTAAGCAGGGAACACCGGTACAGTGATTGGTCATTATGGGAAACACTTAGATAGAGGGGTGCAGGCACTGAAACTGCATTCCTGTCATGCATTGTCACAAAAGCCTATACTTATCCATAGAGGATTTTAAAAATAAATATTACCCCACTTATATCGTCTGTATCATGGAGGCATAAGTTGCACAAGAACAAACATCCAATCCATCCAAATGATGTATATATATATATATATATATATATATATATACATCATTTTATCATAGTTGCCATGCTTGGCCGACAGGTTGGCAAACACAGGTTTTTATAATTTTTAGTTTTAGATACTGCTGCCTTCATCCTGTTCAGTTTTCCTCTGTCGCCTTTTACACCACCCATGGAGTGATTTAGGGTAGGAGATTCTCTACACTATACTGCCTCTAAAAGGCAAAAACTAAATATTTGTTTACATGCAATTAACTTTAAGTTAATATATATTTAAGGCCCGTAAGTGCGACAGAGGGCACAACAGGCGGCGTCCTGTTTCCCCATTTTATTGCACAGCGGGCAGTGAGTGTTTAACATTAGTATAGTCTCAAATTTTAAGACACAATCAGTAAAGAGTTATTACTTTTAGGCTTGAACACTTAAATTCAACTCTAGGATTATTCAGTCTCAAAATTAAAGTAACAATTTAAGTTTTTAAAATAGTATTCACTTTAATATACATTTTCTAAGGCTAAATCAATAATACAATCACCTTGTTCAGTCTGATATATTAAGGGTTTTTTGTGTCATAGCAGTAGGGTTCAACTAACAAAGATTGAATGACAAAGCACTGCATACATTTAAGGTAATCCAAAAACGATTGTGTGTGAAACGAACAGTGTCGCCAGCGAGCCTTGATTTAAAGTTATGTAAGAATGTCTAAAAAGTTACATTTTAAATAAAAAGTTAAAATGACAATTTATTATTTGTTTACCAGAAATTATTATATAGCAGATTTATTTCTAAATAATACAAAAATAACAGGCGTTAGATAATTTGTTTGACTGATCAAAATTAGTTTTATAATGGATAAATTTATTTCTAATGAGTTACATAAACATGCCTAAAAATTTTTCTTACATAGAAGTTACATGGGTTGACATAAAGTTATGAAAATGTAACAAATGTAACCTGGTAATACTGAACACACGCTCACACTCAATACACATAGGTATTTTTCATTATTTGCAACCAACAACATGGTTTTAGGTGCATATGTGTACGTTCGGCAGAGAATTAAACAGGTTTTAAAGAAAGAAAGAAAAAATATGTGTGATAACTGCTTAAGTGCATATAAATAAATAAATAAAATAATTTATTTTTCTTCACAAAACTTAAATTAATTAGATAGTTGATCGGGGTCTCCATTTAAGCAAGTAATGCTTGTGTTTGGAAACCCCACTCTTCCTTATCTAAACATAGATTTTTAATTCTAAAATCCAAAAATGACAAAAAACCAATTACTCTATTTTAACAACCAAAAATGACAAAAGTACAAAAGTGCGTATGTGTGTGTGCATGTGCGTGTGTGAATGAGTGTGTGTGTGTAGAAAAAGTATTATTATGTTATAATTGTAAAGAACAGCAAATTATGAAATGCATTCCATCCGAAATTCAGTTTCGTCATATGTTTTCGACTGTGCCCATTTTAGTATAAGGTTTTTACACTCCTTGTACGTTTTGTCGTATATGTTTAATTCTCTATTTATTATATTATATAGGAATGCATCTTCTCGTCAGGTATACCTCAAAACTTGAAAACGAGACTGTAGAACCAGTGCGTGTTGCCAGTGATGACCTATGGAATCGAGACGTGGTCCTTCACTGCTGGCCGGATGAGGAAGCTCAAGGTCGCTATCCACAATAGAACCAGAGTGACTGACATAATCCAACGGATTAGTAAGCTGAAGTGGCAATGGGCCGGCCATATAGCTCGAAGAACCGACAACCGATGGGGAAAAAAATGTTTTCGAGTGGCGGCCTCATACCGGCGGACTAAGTGTAGGGCGTCCCCGGCTTAGCTTTCCATTGACGTCCGTCGAGTTGGAGGTTGATATTTTTATTACAAAGTTTACATTATTATAATCACACACGCAAAGTTTCAACATGCGGAAACGCATACTATTTGAGAAAAAAATTATTGATAATCAATTATTTTTGCAATATTTATGCCAATCCCCATTGCCGTCCGTCAAATTGGCGGTTGATATTTTTATTACAGAAAGGTTACATTAATATAAGCACACAAGCGAAGTTTCAACATTCGGAGACACGTACTTTTTGAGAAAAAAAATATTGAAAATCAACTATTTTTGCAATATTTATGTCAATTGCATCAATATATATCGCTCATCCAACAGAACAACGACTTAATTACGTTTTCGATATTTTTCAAGAGAAGACTTTCAAAGTTTGGAATTGAAAATATAAATGTAGTTTTAATAATTTTGATCAAATCTTTAAATATTAATGTATGTTAGTTTATTACCAACAATTATTCATAATAAATTACTATGAAAACTCAAGAAAATTTATTTAAAATGCCATACAAAAAATCGGACATACATTTATGCCATTTTTGTAAAAATAAAAAATAAAAAATACAATTATGACATATAGGCGTGGTTTGGAGAGGAGAATAAAATATGAATTTAAACAAAGAGATATTCAATATAGTTTTTATTTGCGCATATAAAAGAATAGCATCAAATAATAGAATTAAATCTATAAAAATAACAAACCCTACATATGAAACAACATCGGTCATGGTCTTAATTAAAACGATACTGTAAATCTTTAAAAGAAACAAAATAGTTAAATACTCGTACTATGAATTAAATTGACGTAATCACTCATCTATTACTCTAATAATAATTAATGTGATTTACGTATTGCTTAAAATAACATTTAAATTAAAATAAGACTTAAATCGACACCTAAATGTATAAATTAGGTACTTTTAGGTGTTTTTTTGTGATGGCCATGTTTACCTCTATTGTCTTTTGGAGCCATGCCTGAATTATATTTTTTTGCCTCAATTACTGTTCGTAGAGTCCTTTCAGAAATTCCTAGAGTATTCAATAGGAATGTTTTACAAATTTTAAAACTACGGCCGTTATTTAAAAATGAAAATGAGCAATTAGGTGTTCTAGGTTTTTCAACGTTCTTAATACGACGGCACAAAATATTCAAAGGTTCGATACACGAGCACAAAAAATCTCTTTGTCGTTGAATAGAAGCCAAGTTCCAGTAACTTTCAAATATCTGTCTTCTTTGATCCTCTGAAAATTGGTTTCTGCACTGTAATCTACAATTGCATGGTGGTATCATTACTTTAGCATCAATCTTTTTTCCAGTGCGAGAAACGTACTCTTTCCCTGAGTTTTTGAGTTCTTTTGATATATTTTTTTTCCATTTCTGTGGATTCCTAATACGCTTTTTACCCTTCTTTGGTGTTAGCGAATGTCTTATTTCTGAATTAAATCCTACAGTAGAAGAAGACGTATTGGAAATCGGTGAAAAACTAATATTTCTAATATGACGTCGTTGAGGTGGCTGACATTCGTCGGTACTATCATCTGGCGAAAAGTCGATATCAGCATAATGCTCATCTTCGGAATTAGGAGGATTGTTTTCTTTGTCTAAAATAAATACAAGAAAATTAATCTCAAATAGCTAAAATTAATAAATAAATAATTTTAATTTGTGAAAATATACATACCCGCAGAGGACGTGGTATTGATAAGGTTATACAAGTCCATAAGTGGCGAAGCAACTGGTTTCTCTCCATGAGGTGCATGTAACTTATCAACGCTATCCAGCAGAGAAGGTGAGCTTATATTATCACGTATAACGTCTAAAAATAATTACGCGCAATAAGTATTTATTGATTAAGATGATTAATCAAGTGATAATTAGTACATAACCTTACCATCTTCAATATTGTTTTGGTTCTCAAATTGATTATTGTTGTCTACATTTAATACTATTGGTAATGTCATGCCTATAGCTTTGTAGTCACTGTCTTTAGCTCTTCTCAACGTATCGACAGAGGTGGCTGGTATTTCTGTTATTGCTAAAACATTATTTAATAAAAAATGAATAAAAATAATACAACTCTTACATGAAACGAGCCATAATTAAATACTACTTATCTACTTACCTTCTTTTGACGATGTATCATGTAAACTCGAAGATGTTGAAGTTGATGATGAACTACTACTGTAAGACGACAACGATGAAGAAGAAGACGTCGACGAAGAAGAACGTTTCCGTTTTAGACTTCCGAGTTCACCTTCTTTTTCAGCTGAAATAAGAACCCTTCTGATAAATGCTGTTATGTAAACAAAAATTTGCTTCGCTGTCAAAACTTGTAAAAACATAATTATTACATACTACAAAGTAAAAAATAATTCTAGTTTCGGAAGTCGGAGGCTTTGGTATTGTTCATATTTTTGCCACTGACTTCCAAAACTATTTTATGATAAATGATAAATAGCATTGGTTTACTTTAAAATAAATTGTCCACTAAAAAATTAAGGGTGTCCGGCCTTTTACCAAAATGTCCAGCTAAGCTGGCTGGTATGTCCGGCTTTTCGGTTTTAAGACCTGGCAACATGCATACAGGTCGAACACAGAACTTCCTTTTTTGAAGCCTGTTAAAAAGGATCAACAGATTTCAAATTTGTTTGGGATTAACCCCAATGATTTTATTTGAAAAAGATACGGACCTCCATCCATGAAATAAAATAATTGTAGAAAACGGTTAATTCCCAACAAATACGCACAATTTTGAAGAAAAGTAGACACTTATAGATGTATTTTCTTACCTTTTAAATCCGCAGGTTCATCCATTGATGGTAATTCACTAATTACGTTATACGAAAATGGTAAAGGTACTTGTCCTTCCTGACCCAACTTTACAATCTGCTCTATTCTTTTTGACCTTGACATGTTTGCGTCTATGACCTAAAACAATACCTTAAATTATACTCTAATTGAACCATTATTAAACTAATACCTAGTCATTATTATAATAATACGTTTACAACAAGGATAAAATTTAGATAAAAGATAGGTACATACCTATTTCAAATTATGAATTAATGTGGACCTAACTTTTTGAAAGAAATAATTTTATTATAAACGTACCTAATATGTATATGAATATTAAAAATACATAATGTTACTTGTTTTCTATCTACTAAAATATGTGCATATTTTTGTAACGTAATATTAGCTATGCTAAGTATACAAATATTATGAACTTGTCAGAACAAGAACGTATTTGGCAATTATGTCATATATAACAAGATTTTCAATTGCAGTTTTGTTGACACAACGACATAATTGTCAAATGCGTTATTGTGGCACCAATAATGTAGAAATTGATTGTCATAACTTACATTTACGTCGCTGTAAGTCCCAACACGTTTGCACTTCACGGGGCTCCCCGCACGAATGTCAAATCCGCCGATATTTCTCCGTAACCATGCAAAAACCAAGCCGATTCCCAAACGACATTCACGCCCTCTATCGAAAACTACTGTAAGAACAATTCTGTCGTTTTTTCTATAAAAAGAACTTCCGCAACGGGAACTTGTGACATCAAAATGTAAATTTCTGCTTTTTTGTAATTACGTCATTGTTCTATTGGATGAGCGATATGTACTACGCACTAGATTTCGCGTTCCGAACATTGACTATGTTCAACTGAACTGTACTGCAATCCGTACAAAGTAAATATTGCGTAAATTGAAGATTTATGAATTCCATAAAATAATTATTATTACATTTTATTTATAAATATGTTTGTTTAGATTAAAATAAGATATTTTATATTGAATTCTTATATTTATTTTATATTAATATCTTATTTTATATCAGTCTTCGCGCATGCGCGACTACTACTCATAGACATAGAGTAGGACACAATTTTTGTTTGGAATGGCTTCTCTAGTACGTAGTACATATAATTCAATGGTCAATTGCTACCGTAAATCTGACGCTATTTTGTATTGTCATCGTCAGTAGGGATGTCGATTCTTTCCGAAAAAGGTCGATTTTAAAATCGACTCGAATCGTAAGCTGATGTACGGATTCACAAAAAATAGATTTCTAAAAATGTAAATTTTTTTATGTTTCCCTTTATAATGTAAATATAAATCCATTTTATGAAAAACAAGAAAGACACCATAATAAATGATCTCATATTGAAATTTGTTTTATTTTAACAGTACCTATTAGGGCAGATAACAAATAAAATAAGTTAGGTTAAACTTATGTCAAAGAACCGAATTGATTGACCCCGGCTCCAGCTGGTACGAGTCTGTCATACCTCTAGAGTAGTTTTATAAAGCCGGAGGCGCGTAGGGGGAGCAGCCTCCGCCTGCTGTAACTCGTAAAATCGGACGAGGATTTGTTACGCTAAGGCATAGAGGCTGCTCTTCCCGCAGTGCCGGAGATGTAGCAGTCTCAAAATAGATACAGAAATCCTTCTGAATCAGTCCCCTATTTTTTTATGATAAAGGGGATTTTTTCTCATAAAATGGATTTATATTTACATTATAAATGCAAATATGAAAAAATATAGATATTTTAGAAACCGATATTTTGGGAATTGATACATCAGCTTACAATTCGAATCTATTTAAAAAAATCAATCTTTTTCGGAAAGAATCGACATACCTACTGACAATAACAATACAAAATGGCATCAGTTTTACGGTGGGGATTGACATAAATAATGCAAAAATAGTTGATTTTCAATATATTTTTTTCTCAAAAAGTATGAGTCTCCGAATGTTGAAACTTCGCGTATGTGCTTATAATAATGTAACCTTTCTGTAATAAAAATATCAACCGCCAACTTGACGGACGGCAATGGGGATTGGCATAAATATTGCAAAAATAATAGTTTCAATAATTTTTTTCTCAAAAAGTTTTCGTGTTTTCGCAATTTGAAACTTTGCGTGTGTGCTTATAATAATGTAACCTTTCTGTAAAAAAAATATCAACCCCCAACTTGACGGACATCAATGGAAAATCGTACCAGTCCCCCTACTAGATGGAGTGACTACCTGGTAAGATATGTATATAAGTCGATGGATGTAGGTAGCTCAGGACCGTGCTTTGTGGCATTCCTTGGGGAGGCCTATGTTCAAGCAGTGGACTTGTGAAGGGCTGTAATGATAATGATGATAGGAATCCAGAACGTGAGCTAAATTGCCTACCAGCAAACACTGTTTTGGAACCAGAAGACACAGTCACATCTTTTCGCCGCTTTTCCAAGTTGCATGGGTCAAAGGGCAGGGATTTGTGTGCTTTGAGGGTTGTCATAGTAACGTATAATTGTCTAACTGAGAGTAGGCCACTTATTTGGTACAGCTTTTGAGTAGGAAAACGTCTTTTTTTTAAATACATGACCTCAAGAAGTTAGGCACAGTTGCGGCACCACTTGCATCAAATGTACGCAGCGATCCGTCTATCTTTATTAGTTGGTCAGAGGCAGTAGCGAAATATGAAAAGCTAGAACAAAAAATTAAAATTACCTGCAGTAAATACTTCCCGTCTACAATTCTTTCGCGTAAATTATCGATTCTATAACGAAAAACATCAGATTTATAGTGAATTTCGTCCCATTTAGTTTTGTATATGTTTATAAAGTTTAGTTTTTTCTCTTCACATACATTTCTTGATGTACGAAAATCTTGTAGTTTAAACATTTTTTTTAAAAGAAGCAAGGAGTTTCTACACTTGTAAGGAAGAAAATTGAAATCATACAACTTTATAATTTGTGATTAAAATTGAAATAATTTAATTGAAAATGAAAACAACCAAAACAACACATTCCACAATTTTTTTATAACTGGCTTTACGGCTCTGGGTTCTTAGTCTTTCTGATTTCTGAGCCTCCACAATAAATAAAGTCTGCGATACCCACAGACTAATATGATGCTTACGCATGATACGACCGTAGACTTAGAATATACTACAGTATATTACTGTGGATACGACAGTGACTTTTAGTCAAGTTTGCCAACCGCCTCCGGTGTAATGACACCATGGAGGACAGAATTAAAGAGCTTCTGTAGGACTTCAAGTACCAGTTTTCCACCCGCTTTCAGAAGCTCCGCTGTAATTCCATCCTCGCCTGGGGCCTTGCCGTTTTTAAGGTGCTGGAGAACCATTCTAATCTCGCTCAGACTGACGTCCGGGATATCTTCGGAATAGTGTCGGATAAGACTCGCTCTTGGATCGTTACTCACACTTGCGTGTCTCTCCAACGATGACGTGTACAGCTGCCCATAGAACCTCTCAATCTCACTCAAAATCTCAGGTGCCCCGAAAATGATGCTGCCACACTCGGTCTTCAGCTTTGACAGTTGGCTCTTTATGGCATACAGATATTTGAAGGCAAAGACTTTGGAGCCTTGGTTGCGCTCGATCGCTTCTTCAATACAAGCTGTATTGAAGTTGCATAAGTCCCGCCGTATGCATTTGGAGATCTGTCTGTTCAGTTACCTGTATGCTGTCAAATCTGTTCATTGCAGTCTTCTAGGCACTGAAAACGGGTTTGTAACTCGTGCTGAAAGGTTTCAGGACTTTGGAACAGAGCACGAGGGTGACGGAGCGTTGACTTCATTATTTATTTATTTATATTTCCTACTAACATCTACCATTACAGGGAAAAACCTAAATCGATAAATGTAGCATTTCAATTCAGAATAATATTTATAATAATAATAATAATACAATTAAAATATGTTATTGGAATTCATCATAAAGCATAAAGTAACAATTCGAATGGTAAAATATTGTTACGAGCTTGAGGTTCGAGACAATTAAAACTGCTGATTGAATTACCAAAATTGACACTTTAATTACACAACACTAATTACAATCTAAAATCACACTAATAATAAAACACAGTTCGCCGTTATTTCGCTTCGAAGTATTCTCTTGTATCGCCAATTCAATACTGCCTCGGTCGTGGTCTATACCGGCCTTATATAGGGCCTCAGATAGTTTCCAGAATCTTCTACTGTAGCGACATCTAGAATGTTCGAGTACATATCGGTCCCGAAATTTCTGGAAGGATCTTGACTCTCCTAGTTCTGCTACTCGACACTAGAGGGCGCTAGTGTAACTAGTGTTACCATGTACAAGACATTAATAGTGGCGCGCAATACTTTCATTTACTCGACACTAGAGGGCACTAGTGTAACTAGTGTTGCCATGTACAAGACATTAATAGTGGCGCGCAACACTGCCCCCTCCTAAGACATGCTCGTCCCGAGCATTATTGGCCCCATAATAACGCGCCAGTCGATCCACATGGACAATCTTAGGAGTACCTCTGGCACCTTTCTGTATCCGGTAGGTTACATCATTGATCCTTGTCACAATCCGGTACGGTCCGTCCCATTTAGCTTGAAGCTTAGGAGATTTCCCTTTGCTGCGAACTGGATTGTGTAACCACACTAGTGAACCTTCATCAAACCCCTTGTTGTTCATTTTGCGGTCATACCGTGTTTTCATCTTCTCAGACGTTTGCTGGCCCGTCTGTCTGACGTGCTCATAAATGTCATTCATTTTGTTCCGCAAGTCATTTGCATAATCGGTTATACTGCGTGGGGCATCAGGTGGTATTCCGGTGATCAGGTCTGCAGGCAGCCGTAATTCTCTCCCAAAGTTTGCGAAAGCTGGCGTCACTGACGTACTTTCGTGAACAGCGCTTCGATATGACAACAAAAACGGTTGTATGTGCCTGTCCCAGTCTCGTTGCCGTTTTTCCACAACTTTTGCCAGGTACCTTTCCAATGTCTGATTAAATCGTTCTACCATTCCATCAGATTGTGGGTGGTAAGAAGTTGTTCGTGTTTTATGAGTACCCATAACTCTGCAAGTTTCCTGGAATATTTGAGACTCGAAATTCCTTCCTTGATCGCTGTGAATCTCTAAAGGTACTCCAAAACGACAGAAGACTTCATGAACTAGTTTATCTGCAATTGTTGAAGCTTCTTGATTTGGAATGGCGAAGACTTCTGGCCACTTAGTGAAGTAATCCATCACAACCATGAAATACTTGTTACCACTTTCACTTTCCGGAAACGGCCCCGCAACGTCAATGGCTATCCTCTCCCATGGTGCACCAACATTGTACAATTTCAATGCGCCTCTACTACGAATTTGAGGTCCCTTTACAGCCGCACAACTTGTACATTTGCGGCACCAGTCCTCGACATCGTCACGACAGTGGACCCAGTAAAACCGTTCTCGGATTTTCAGTAGAGTTCGTTTAACTCCCAGGTGGCCTCCTGAACAACCACTATGGTACAGCTGTAGAACATCCGGTACTTTAGCCTTAGGGACAACCATTTGCAAATGACAACTGTCTCCCCGACCATTTTCCCATTTACGGCACAGGACTCCATCCTGAATCAGCAAGCTGTCCCATTGGGCCCAATAGCTTTTCGTGGTCGAACTCATTGCTGAGACGTCGCTCCACTTGGGTTTAGGAGCACTGGCCCTCATCCATTCCAGAATCGGCTTAATATCCGAATCTTCCTGCTGTGCATGTTGTAGGCTGTCCTTCCACTCATTGCTGAGCTGGTCTGTCCTGAGCATCCTCACAGATACCACTTCCTTACCCTCTTGCCTAGTACAATGCTTGCAATCTTCAGGGCAAGGTCTTCTTGACAATGCATCTGCATTGCCATGAGATTTCCCGCTGCGATGTTCGATCACAAAGTCGTATTCCTGCAGTAGTTCAATCCATCTCGCAACTTGTCCTTCCGGATTTTTGAACTGCAATAGCCATTTCAGTGCAGCATGGTCAGTTCGTAAGTGGAATTTCCGCCCTAGAAGATATTTGCTAAAATGCTGCAAGGACTTTACCACAGCAAGCAATTCCCGTCTTGTGACACAATAGTTCCTTTCCGGCTTTGACAATGACTTGCTGAAGTACGCTATCACAATCTCTTGGTCACCATTCCGTTGAGACAACACACCGCCAAGTCCTATATCACTTGCGTCTGTGTCAACTATGAATTCCTTGCCCGCATCAGGGTACCCCAAAATAGGTGTTTTGCACAGACGGTTCTTGAGCTCCTGGAATGCAATATCGCAACTTTCATCCCAGCAGAAATGTCGCTTCTCCTCGGTTAGCTTGTGCAGAGGTTTGGCTATATCTGCAAAGTTCTTCACAAATCGCCGATAATAAGAGCACAAACCCAAAAATGCTCTAACCTGTGTCTTGTCTTTTGGAACCGGCCACTCCTTGACAGCGGCAATTTTTTCTGGATCCGTGCGGATACCTTCTTCCGACACTACATACCCCAAAAAACTAACTTGCCGTTTGAATAGTGAGCACTTCTTTGGACTCAACTTGAGGTTGGCACTCTGGATCTTCATGAGCACGCGTTCCAGGTTTTGAAGGTGTTCCTCAAACGTACGGCCTACGATGATGATGTCATCCAAATAGACCAGACAGGCATCTCCAATTAGCCCGGTAAGTACAAGCTCCATCAATCTTTCAAACGTTGCTGGAGCATTGCACAATCCAAACGGCATGACTTTAAATTGCCACAGACCCTTTCCTGTGGAGAATGCAGTTTTCTCCTTGTCCTTAGGGTCAATTTCAACCTGCCAGTAGCCACTTTTCAGGTCCAGCGTACTAAACCACTTTACGCCTGTGAGCATGTCCAGCGTGTCATCAATTCTAGGCAAGGGATAGCTGTCCTTCTTCGTAACGTCGTTCAGGCGGCGGTAGTCAACACAAAACCGCATGCTGCCGTCCTTCTTCTTTACCAGCACCACAGGTGAACACCATAGACTAGATGAAGGTTCAATAACACCATCCTTCACCATTCCCTCAATCATGGTTTCCACTTCCTTTTCACGTGCTACAGGCAATCTTCTTGGCCGCTGACGAATAGGCAATTCTTGTCCTGTGTTTATTTTGTGTTGAACTAAGCCAGTCTTTCCTATGTCAGCTTCGTTTGACGAGAAAACATTGGCGTACTTGAGTAACAACTTCTTCGCCTTGACCATTTCATTCGGGGACAGAACGCTGCGACAGTCTTCTAAAAGTGTGGTCACTCTCGTTTGTCCATCCTTGCTGGGGGTCCCGGTTGATAGATATTCGCACCGACGCAACCAATCCACTTCCTCACTAGTACCAACCAATGTGCCTTTTTCTATAATCTGTTCCTGATCACAAAGGTTCAACACACGTACTCCTGAGATGTCGGCGGTTCTGACTAAGGTTCGAGCCACTTTCCATGGAAGGTCATTGTCTACCCTTTCCACGAGTACACAACGAAGAGTTTGCCCATTATTCCGTGGAAGTCTAACCGGCACAATTGTTTCCGATCTCGGCGGAAGAACAATCTTCTTAAGGCTGTACACATTCCCTGGTAACGCCCCTTCCACGAAAAGTTCCTCTTGTCCACATTTCAAAACACCTTGCTTAACGTCGATCTCACAACAATTCTTCCTCATAAAGTCTAGGCCCAGGATGCAGTCGTCCATTATATCAGCCACGATGACATTATGCAGGTAGATCATGTTGCCTAGCTTCAACTCCATCTCCTTCTCTCCTCGGACGGGTATGCGCTGACCGGTGGCTGTCACCAAATTAATGCGTTCGCGGTTGTATGCGGAGTCCCCAAGAAACTGATTTATAAGCTGGGAACTGACAACCGTGCGAGAGGCTCCAGTG